AGAGAGAGAGAGAGAGAGAGAGAGGGGGAGGGAGAGAGAGAGAGAGAGAGAGATAGGAGAGGGGGAGAGCCCGATCCGGGAACGACACGTTCTGTCAGATGGGCATAAATCAATGTTCAGTACTGGCAACCCCCGTCTATAATCGGTCGCGTCGACTCACTGAAGCAGGAATCTCACACGCACACGCACATGCACACAGAGTGACACGAAATATCTCTCTCTATTACTCGCTGCCTCTGTCATTGTCTTTGGCTCTATCTCTCTTTAATAAATGAATCTATTCGTCCCTCTTATGGTGGAGCTAGGAAGGAACGTAAGAGCGAGAGAGCCTGCTTTATTATGCCGGACACAATTGCGTGTTGGCTAAGCCACGTGACCGGTTGACTTCCGGCGTACACTCGCTCTCTGGGTTCCGTGCGGTAGTCTCGCAAAGCGTGCGGAAGCGCATCGCCAGGATCCACCCCAGACTGCTCTTGCGTATCCACGAATACGCAAGGGCCAAATAACGTATTAGCTCCCTATCTCCCTTTCCGTTTCTTTTCCGCCACCCTTTTGCACAGTTCGATCTCGTTTTTCCTTTATTTCTCGATCATTCTTCAGCCCAGTGTGCGACTTTTCTTTGCCTCGCATTCTGCCGTCGCACGTGCACGCGTCGCCTCTTCGCTCCGCTACTGCATTTTTGCTGACTTTTCTACATGTCTAGCATATATACGTCTGTGTACATACTCCTACGGGCACATACACCTATTTTAACAACACTCACACACGCGCGCGCGAACGCACAGACACGTGTATATATATATATATATATATATGCGCGAGTAAGAACGTTCTTTTAAAGGATTTTAAAGGATTGCCAAAGTTTTGATATTGTGTGTGCTCGTCGATAAATCGCAACATCCGTAGCGAAACAAGACCGTGTTCTTTTTAACTTTTGCCTCGAATTAAAGAATAATTTTATTATGTAAAATTCTCGTGTCTATTTGGAATGAATGACCTTTGCTCATAGAAATGAAGATTCGTATCTTCTATATGGGTAATATATTGCAATTTATCTTTTACGTTTTAAGAATTTCTGTGGCGCACGCTTAGTTGCGAAACACATATTACGTTAACGATTTTATACACAATTAAACGATAGCAACCGCTATCGCATTATTAATCAATCGCATAAGGGAATAGGGCAAGAGAGAGAGGGGGCGTGGCCGGGGGGTGGCGGAAACTTGGGTGCTGTGCAATAGCAGACGGTAACGTTAATTTCGAAGTTCGACACAACGAGTCTCGTTCGAAAATCCGAAACAATCGTTTCCATCGGCATCTCTCGATACTGCCATGCCCGGCCCCGAAATCGATAGGCCACTGACGCATGACAGTTTTTCACGATTTTTCACGCGCGTCCCCGTTGTTCTCGAGCCAATCCGGAGAGTCATTGTCACAACAAGAAGTTCATTTATTGCTCTTTGCCGACACACGCGAGCTGACTTGACTTGGCTCCATGACTTTCTCATAGTCATTCCCAAGCGATAGCGCATGCGATCATTGTTTCGGGCATTCGACTTTGATGTGACGGCGCACGTAAGCAGAAAAGAAATTATTACGAGAGCCCTGGTCGGTTATTTGTCGAGTAATAATGGAGATCTCCGAGTGCACGCGAGCTCGTGCCCCCTCAACTAACTGTGAATATCGTATGTGTAAGCTCAACCATCACACTCCGGCTCTGTGTAAAAGTGCCCGCGAGCTCGTCAGATCCTCGACTTTGAAAATTCTATTTAATTCGCGATATCCGCGGCCCCTACTATCCGCCCACAAGCATTGACCAATACAAACGTTATTTCGATCTTATCTAGCTAGACATGCATGGAAAGTAATACAAGCGAAAATGCTCTCTGTTATTGCTTATCAATTTGATAATTTATTTATCGAATGTAAAGGGAAGATTCGATCGACCTAATCGACAGATTTTTCTTTTTATTTTTTATTTTCCGATAAATCTAAATACGTGTTTAAGCATCAAACAATGCTTTATTAATTGGGCATTTAGTTGAATTTTGCCTTTTCCACGGTCAGCAGCTACGCTCCAATGACATGTGCACAAACGTCTAGATTGCCTTGGATTCAGCTCCCTCAAAACAAACACTGTGTGCGTGTGTGTGCGCGTTTGCGCGCGTGTGTGTGTGCGCGCGCGCGAGAGAGTTACTTACTTACTTGTTTTATAATAATGCCGATCCCTTGTGTCGAATGATTTTTAAAAAATGTCGTAAATATTTTTATCGTCGCATCTGATCCAACTGACCTTTAAACTTCCGACACCCCCCCCCCCCGTCAAGGCGAGAAAAATAAAAAAGTGAATAGAGACGTATGTCAGTGTGTAAATAATAGAGTCATCGGGAACTGCGAATAGGTGGATCGAATGATGATTGGTCGCGCCGTGCTTATGTTAATACCTGATTGGCGTCGCCGTCATCGTCGCTGTTGCCGTCGCCACCGCCGTTGCCACCGCCGTCGCCACCGCCGTCGCCACCGCCGTCGTCATCGCCGTCAAGACCGCCGTCGTCACCGCCGTCCCCTCGGCCGTCATCACCGCCGTCGTCACCGCCGTCACCTCGGCCGTCATCACCGCCGTCATCACCGCCGTGGGATCGCTTAGCTGGTGTGCCGAATTTTCATGGGGTCGCGGGGGTGCGCACCAGTAGAAGCGCCGGATCAAATGGTGGAAGGGGGAGATGTGGCTCGAGACCATGGGAAGATCGTGAGAGGCGACATTGTTAGGATGTTAGCATCCGTGGCCACGGATGTGCGGCTCGACAGGCGCGAAAAATAATAATTAGTCGAATTGATAGGGTCGAGAGGGGTGTGGTGAGGAGGCCAAGGGAGCATTTATTACGCACCCGTAATAGATCATGGGATTTTACGTTATTGTGTTTTGGCGATAATGGCTGGGCGCTCGATTTTGGCTATCGTCAGCGTACCAACGAATGGCACTTTTTTCCGATGACGCGTTGACCTCGACGAGCAATTATTCTTATTCGTTTAAGCTCACTTTGCACCCAATAATATAATGAATAATATTATTGTTAAATTAGAGGAGAGAATTTGTTGATCCATTCATTGACCAACGTCAATTTTGCCTATTTTAACAATGGTAAATTACCGCTTAAAGTGGCTCCATCTTTCACCTCCATTGCACATATTTACGCATTGGCAATAAAATTTCGGGCATAACTACGATATATAAATATATATGGTTTTCGACGTGAAATAAATCATTACGGCCATAGATTTTAAATGCGGTCATTGAATTAAATATGGCCCCAGTCGTCGAGCAAACCTAAAAATACTCCCTTTGAAATCGGAGGGAGAGAGAGAGAGAGAGAGAGAGAGAGAGTAATAACGTATAACTTTACATCGCGCACGCAATTTTTTTTTTTTTTTTTTTTTATCTCATAAAGAAAGTAATTAATCAAGGGAGATCTTATAATTATACATTATTCCCAAAAATTTCTTCATACGAAGGTGCATGGAGGTAAGTAATGATAAATGCCTGCTCGATACGAGGAGGATGAAGGAGCATGAATTACAGCTCGGAAGATAAAATTTTCTCCGAGTATGATTAAAAATTGTAATTCAAGTGGCAATGCCTTTACTTACGACGCATTATAAAATGTGCCAATAAAAAATGTCAGCGGCCAAGGGCTGTCGGGAAAAACGGTAATTACTAAGGCCTTACAAGGCCTGGGATACAGTCAATGGCCAGAATGAAAAAGACATCCTTAAATTCATTCGGAAGCAGAGTCGGCAACAAAACCGATCGCAATCCCGGGGAAATAAATCAATATCGGCAGAGAGCAAAAAAGGAGACGGGCGACTACTGCTCCGGAGGACAGTTCATAAATTCGCCGAGGACTCGTGTACCCATCCTCGAGCTCGCTCAAAAGGACGCCGCGGAGGATCGCGACGTCGCGGTGTCTCGGCGTCGGACTCGCGCACCATGACGTGGCAGAACAAGGATCTCGGCGGCGGCCTATCGATTTTCACATTGGGCCTCGTGTCGTGCTATCGACGATCTCGTATGATCGAATCAACGACCGATGTTTATTACAAGAGCCGAGGATCGCGTCGATCCCCGGGGCCTTTGCGGTCAGCGTTCGCTACTCCCGCGCCAGTTGCGCCATTGACGGAGAGACTGCGAGGGGCTCTGGCCCAATATAGTAAAGTATTCGTAAATTGGGGGTGGATGCTAGGGGGCTGCATCGAATCGGCCGAATGCCATCGGTAAGGTCGAGGCAAAGCCACGACGACGATGGGCGGTAGGTAAGGAGACTTTTCCCGTCGTTGGCCTTGTTTCGCGTTCCGCATGTGGGCTCGACGCCAAGGACTTTGGCCAGGACGGTGTGCGAGGCTCGGGAAAAATATATGTGGGCCGATAACCGGGTCTGGGCACCGAGGTTGATATTACGATGGTCCCGCTGGGTTTTGCCGGGCCGATGAAACTCCTTTGCCGATAGTTTCTCGTGAATTTTCATTTGGATAGGATTTATCGCTCGCTCGCTCGCAAGTTGAATTAAAGCTCCCTTGTGAATGCGTATAATTTCAGGCTCTTGGCCAATCTGCGATATCTAAATCTCTATATCAATATCTATATATGAATTTTTAATTCGTTCGTGCGTCCGTGCGTGCGTGCGTCCGTGCGTGCGTAATGCCCGTTTGATTTTGTTAAATAAATTATCCGTGGCGCGGCTATTGTTTTCTAATCAATCAAGGCCCAATCATGCCGTGTAATTACTGACAATACTTTATATGCAAACAGCCGGTGACTCACAAGTAATTAATCTACTTTTCTCTCTTTTCCCATTAAAGCCATCGTCGATTAACCAGTGATCTTTAAGAATATCCTTTTTTTTTTTTTTTTTTTTTTTTTTTTTTTTTTTTTACTTCTTACATTAAAGAGCGAGAGATCTGGTAAAATTGATCGCTATCGAGACTATTATTCGTTTCTATAAGGTGAGATAATCGAGAAAATAATATCTTGAGCAAGTTCATTTTATTATTAAAGTTTTTTTTTTTAATAAGGACGAGAGATAGAAGGCATTTCTAATAGAAAGACGAACCCGTTATTCTTTCGTCGTTCTCTTGTATTGATCATCGTGCATTGTGGCTTCGCACCAATTGTCCTAATTACACAGCTGTATTGCCACAGCAATTGCACAGCCAAATGCCGCATATGATTATTAGACCTCATGTCGATTATTTGTATTATTCGTGTACTTGGTGCGAGCATCGAGCAACACTCGCTCACACTGCAAGTGGCTTGAAAAATGCGGCTTATTCAATTGGAATAGGAAAAAAGTACGCAAAACGATGATTGACGATATTTGTAGATCGGCGAGGTAAAGCAGGCCACTGTACTCCCCACTAACTCGCATCGAAATCGAAATTTGGCCGAATAGAAAAATAAAAGTTATACGGCAAAACGACATTTCCGTAGAAAGTTGAAAGAGTATAATGGGATATAGGGCGGAGTAAAGGCCCGTGAGGTGCGCTCGAGTACGTTGGTTCGCGTCCTTATGTAGGATCGCGAGTCGGAGCCGGACAAAGAGTTAGCGGGGAATGGTAAGGGGCGGGGGTGCGGAGGCAAGGGGCCGGTTAGTCGGCGCGCGATCCCTCGGGGCCGCGAGGATAGAAGCACCGCCGCCACCGCTACCACCGAAGCCGCCGAAGCCGCCGTAGTTGCCGCCGTCGCTGCCGCTGCCGCTGCCGCTGTCGCTGCGGTGGTCCCCAGGTTGTCGCGGGGACCAACAAGATCGAGGCGACTACGCTCGCGTCTTCCGTTTTCTTTGTTTTCGCGCGGGCAGAAGTAAGAGGTAGAGTGAAAGGAAGGGGCGACAGGGAATTGGGAAGAACGGAGGACGAGAGGAGGGGAGGATTTACGCGGCTGCGTCCTGCTGGCGGATGCGCGGCCAGAATCTCCTCCTTCTTGCTCTCCACCTTCGGCTCTCGACGCCGAGGGAATTCCGGTTGCCCTTCCGACGAGTCGATTGTTTCCCGCCTTTTTTTCGCCGACCCGTCGTGGAATGTGAGATCGCTGGATTTTCGGATGGTGGGCGATCGATTATAGCGCCCGAGTCGATGAATCGGCACTGATGGGGTGAAATTGGTCTGGCATCTAGAAATATGATTTAAGGGATCTTTAGTTTTATTGATATTGGATTTAGGGAGCGACGTGGATATGCGTTCGGTCTATTGGGGTTGAGAGCAATAATTTGTAATGTGGTAATGTCTGATTGATATACTAGTTTGCACGTGACAATTAATTAAGTAGTATTTATCAATATGTATTTTTTTTTTTTTTTTTTTTTTTTTTTTTTTTTTTTCAATCTTTTGCTCTTAATTTATTTGGATTGAATGTAAATGTAGTGTACTTAAAAGGTTGGACGGTGTTTTATTCTACGTTCATTCGCATAGTTGGATCAACGAGCCAGAACGGATCTCGATGATTTTCAAAATTGTTTCTTTGAATTACAAAGCAACTGATTCCATAATCGGATCTTAACAATTTTCTGATATATGAGAAAACATTCTAACAAACGTAAGAAGAAATAAAAAAAAAAAAAAAAAAAAAAAAAAAAAAAAAAAAAAAAAAAAAAGAACGTGTCCTCTAATGAATATTTATATTCTCGATAAAACGAATTGAAGTTTATTATTAGCACTATATTTTTTTTTTTTTTTTTTTTTTTTTTTTTTACCATTTTTTTTTTTTGCAAATCATTTTCATATCAAAACACTAAACTTAATAGTCAATCGTCTAGGTGGTCGTTTGTTCCAGTTGAAATCAATCGATAATATTGCTAAAGTTTCTGCACGATAATGCAAAGTTTATTCAGGAAATCGCGCTAATTAATCAATGTATTCTAAGAAAATTTTAATCAACTCCAATGAAATTTTTATTTCTTCCATTGAGATAAATTTTATATTTTGTGTATAAGGTTTCGCTACTTCTTATACTGAATATGTACTGAATAGAAATACTTGATAATTATTGATAATTTCTTAGAGTAAGATAAAAATGAATTTGTGTATTCTTCATCATTATCCTAGTCATCGTTATTATTATTATTATTATTATTATTGTGGTTGTTGTTATGTGGTTATATGTGGTGGTTGCAGTATCAAGACAGATCGTACTAAAATAGAACTATTTTCTTTGGATTGTTCTCTTTATTCATAATAATTAGAAATTTTGAAAGAGACTATAGTATGTAAATGAAAACTATTTCTTCAAATAATAACAATTTCATTTTATCATACTCGCTACATATTTTTTGTTCTTGTGATTATTTCATGAAATACATAGGCATCTTCGAATCACTTTAACTTTAATTATTTATTTTTAAAATCTAGCTTTACATTAATATTTGTAATAACTGCCTTATAGTTTCCCATTGGCGTGCTTTTGCCTATTCCACTTTCAATAACATTAATCGCTTTTCTTTCAATCAGCAAATACTCATGACCCGTCACACTAACAACATACGTGATATCATATATTGACGTACGGCATGAGAATAAGTAAATGAGCTGCATCTCAAATTGAAAAGGTGTATGTATGTATGTGTGGTACAATCGGGAGTGAATAATCAAAGAATAGTC